GTATACACGGGTATACAGTATACACGGGTATACAGTATACACGGGTATACAGTATACACGGGTATACCCGGGTATCGAAGTTGAAAAATGTTGCCGGGAAAAAATGTAAGATACCTAGTTCTTGAAGATAACAGGGGAGTATACAGGATTTTTTCAAAAGGGGACTTCAAACACTTTTTTTCTAGGGGGATGGGGCTCAGAACCCTTTGGGGTTTGAAACCCCTTAAGATTTCACTTATCCAGGGGAGGGGGGCTGAGTAATGTTATGAAGGGGGAAGGGGGATGGGGGGTAATAGCGCCCCCCCCTCGTTTAGGCCTCCGTGTGTCAAGATATTTAAACTAAAAGCTACAAACAAGCTGTTTTCAACGTTTAACTTTAGATATATTTACTTTTAAATTATAAACTATAAAATTATAAACTTTGATATGTTTCGGAGCAGTCGATATTGGCCATTTTAAAATCCCGTGTTGACGAAGCGGTCAATGTCGACCGCTGTCCCTATCTCTAAAACTATGCATTGTATGAAAAAAATTAAAATATTTCTGTTCCTCAGGGAACATTTCTAGATAAAATTGAAAATTTTTGAAAATATTTTGAAAAATATGAAGTTCGGACATAAACGGTTACACTTTTTAGTCCAATTTTCTCGTAAATCTGATCGTATGAGGGTAAATGCTGTAAATTCCCACGTAAACTAGTAATAATTTAATAATAATTCCTTCTGTTGAAGAGCTTTAGTAGAAGAACAGAAATGTTTGTATTTCTAATATGTAACCAGATAAATTTAATTTAGTTACAAGGTTACAAAATCGCTCCAGAAGGGTCTGAAAATGTGAACAAACTCCATTTGCTGAGATTGCAAGTGTATTTTGCTGCCCGCAGTTGCGAGCCCTGTAAACTTCGCGCAATTTAACGCAATTTCCGCGCAATTCCGCACAATTGCGCGCAATTCAAGAACAGTTGCACACAATTGCGCACAACTTAATTCCGATTGGAAACCCTAGTTTGCATTGTTTTAAGTAATAAACTTAAACCTACATCAAAAGTATCCGACAATCTTACCTTTTTTATTATGCGCTCTGCACTGAATTTACAATCTTACCTTTACCTTTACTTTACACTGTACAGCACTGGTAGAATGTACACTGTAAAAACTATAAAAAGTATCCGACAATCTTACCTTTTTATTATGCGCTCTGCACTGAATTGCTAGTTGCTGTATTGGTTTCTAACTGTACGGTACTGTAAAATGTACACTGCACGGTAATGTTTACTTTACACTGTAGAATGTAAGTGTACACTGTAAAAATTATAAAATGAAACTAAACAATTATTTAGCAATTTTGATGAAGATCTGAAGGTTGAAAAGTCTTATGACAAATTCATGAAATTTACAAAAAAGTAGTTCCCAAATTTTTCAAAAATAATTTTTTTAAAATATATAATAAACATGTTTTTAGTGGATAAAATCAAATTTTGAAATTTGAATATTGTGATCTATGTTAACCCTGTATGTTTACGCGTGTACACATTTCAGATGGATTTAGTTAATATAAACTATAAACTAAGATATAATATTAGTTTCTTCGTTGTATTTCCATGTACAGGGTGAAATATATTCTTCAAGCTTTCAAACACAAAAGTAGCAAATGCAAATGTTTTAACTTGCCAACATCATCACCCTGTATGTTAGGCAAACATGATAATTATCACCCTGTATGCTATGTAAACCTTACAATAACCTCCCTGTACGTAACACAAACATGAAGATGAAAATGTATGTTGCGCAAATGAGTTAAAGCTCACCCCGCACCCGGTATGTTCCGCAAGCATGACAATGATCACCCTGTAAGTTACGCAATCATGAAGATGATCACCCTGTATGCTACGCAAACATGAAGATGATCATCCTGTATGTTACACAAGCATGACATGATGCCTTTTATATTACGCAAGAATGACGATAATCACCCTGTATGTTATGTAAACATGACAATTATCACCCTGTATGTTAGGCTAACAAGGCAATGATCACCCTGTATGTTACGCAAACATTACGATAAGCGCCCTGTATGTAACACAAACATGAATATGAGGATGTATGTTAAGCAAATAAGATGATGATCACCCGGTGTGTTACACAAGCATGACAATGATTACACTGTTTGTTACGCAATCAGCACAATGATCACGCTGTATGTTACGGGAACATGAAAATGATCACCCTGTATGTAACACAAACACGAATATGAGGATGCATGTTAAGCAAATAAGATGATAATCACCCGGTATGTTACACAAGATGACAATGATCTCACTGTTTGTTACGCAATCAGCACAATGATCACTCTGCATGTTACAGATTTTCATAATGATCACTCTGTATGTTACGGAAACATGAAAATGATCACCCTGTATGTTACGCAAACATAAAAATGATCACCCTGTTTGTTACGCAAACATAAAAATGATCACCCTGTATGTTACGGACACCTGAAAATGATCACCCTGTATGTTACGCAATTAAATGAGAAGTCTGTGACTCGAAGGCGCCGATATTCCCATGTGTATCAGTATAAAGTGGCGCCTCAAATAATTGAAAATAAATAAATAAAATTAGATTTTAATGAATTTCTGTAAACTGTAGATGTTTCACTGGAAGATGCATTAGTCAACTTTTCCGTCTTCTTTTATATCGCTTTTTGTTTGATATACTGTACACATGCAGTATAGATGCGTACAAATATTGAATATGGAACTTATTTTCCTGGGAATTTGAAATGACAAAAAAATGGATGTATTTCTTGGAAATGTTTGAAAAGAATAAAACATGATAAAATTTTCTATTTTTCAAAATCATTCCAATGCACATTCAAAATTAGAATGGACAATATTTCCAGCCTAATTTCGGAAGACCTTACTCAAGAAATTGAAGACGTGATTTCAAGCAACATTTGATTTTTAGAGTGGCATGTTCGATTCACAATGATGCCCTGTAAACCTTTATCAATGAAGAATCAGTTGTCCATGTACTATATAAAAAAAATTATTTTCAATTACAGTTTCTTCAGAACAATGACTTGCAGTTTTGCGCAGACAAAGAAAAAAATAATTTCGTGATATAAGAAATTCCGCGAAAACCATAGCTGCACAAAAAACTTTTGGAATTCTCTGCCCTGAGAGCTCAGCATTAGAAGTTTTATAATATCATAATCAGTCAATTTTCTTCCGTATTTTCCGCTAAATATTCGCATTCCCTCCCAAAAATGTTCGGATTTTTTTCGCGAAAATTTTCGCATTTGTTCGCGAAATTGTTGGTCTTCTTATTTCGCGAAAATTTCGCATTTTGTTCGCGAGACAGTCGATGCGAAATTTCGCGAAAAAAACGAAAACTTCAGGTAATGTAATGAACCTGACTGACTTTGAAGCAGAGAAGGGCTAATTGTACAGCCTGCTTAAAAAAAATGAAGCATTTATTTTTAAGACAATTTCGACTTTGCAGTGTATCAAAGCCTTGAGCATTAATTTCACCGCTCTAATTCACATTTTTGTATTCATAAACATGTACATTTTAGAACTATAACACTCTTGTTTTTGCATTGGTTTTAGGAAGTATAATTGTCAAAATTCTCATTAATATTTGAGTGATGAGAGTAATTTCATGGTAAACTAAATAACCTATTCATTGATATTAGACTTTTTCTTTTTAAGATATCTATGACCAGAGAAAAAGCCGATTTTTTGCTTAGAATTCCAGCGGAGAGGTTTGACACATTAGAATAGACACGTTTTTCAGTTACAACAGCCCGGCCAATAAAATCTAAAATTATAATATTTCCATAAAATCATGTGTCAGCCATAAACATAGAATAAAACATGAAAACCCTTGATTTCAGAATTAGCGAGAAATCAAAGTTTTTCATTTTCAACCATGATTTTGAATGTTTATACAAAGACGACTTTATCTCTCTGTCAAACCGGTTTCTAGATTCCAACTCGGGGATTCCTAGGAGGAAAACATATGCGTCAAATGTTTAAAATAGGTTATATTTTGAAAATAGACAATTTTGAAATAACTTTGAAAAAAAAATTAAAATTATTTACAATTAACTTTTAAATACTACAGTTTAATCTAATATCTGGAATTTTAAAAATTCCAGATCTATATGACAAAAGGCATCAAATAGTGTCTTTGCAATTAAAGATCATACCTTTGCGCTGGAGTTCTGAAAAATCGATCGGCTTTTTCTCCGGCCACAGATGTCTAATATCAATGAATAGCTAATAGGCTATTTTGTTTACCCTCAAATTACCCAAATAAGGGAACGGTACCTTTAAATACAGTGATTTCCTCTACTCCTTTATGCAAATGCCGAGTCCATTAGCGCCTGATCCACTCAGGGTTTAGTCATGTGTTCGTTGTCATTCTTTGACCCAAATAGAAGTAGTATGGTGGAAATGGTGGTAACATCTATCTTTCCATCTATCATTATCCAATCAGAGTTATGAATCCTTCAATTGGCGCTATTAGTAAATAGAAATATTTACATTAACTGAAACTACCAAAACTGGTATTGGCTCGTAAGTTGTTCTGATTTATTTCATTATAAATAACGTATGTTTACATACAATACACGATATACTACATGTGAATACGGTGGTTAACATTCTTATATATACAAAAGGAAGAAAAAGTTATATTCTAAAGTAGTGAGGGTTTTCAACGCGCGCGCAATTGCGAGCTCTGTTAAATCAGCGCAATTCCGCAAAGGAATTGAGTTTTCCCCACAAACTCAAATTTGCTAATCCCTATATCTTTGCAACCAGATGGTGTAAACCAATGATATTTCAAACTTAGACTATTTGGTCTAATAGAATTCATAGTTAAAAATATCAAAGATCTACGACATCGGGTTGCTGAGATAAGGGGGGGGGAGGAAAATTTAGAGTTTGTGGCAAAAACTCATTTGCTTTCGAGAACAGTTGCCCTCAATTCCGCACATTTCCGCGCAATTCCGCGCAATGGAATTTCGATTGACGTACAACCCTCTAAGAAGTTGGCTTATTTGACAGTACGTCAGTGATATACTGTCAAATGGCCCTATAAGGGAACTTTTCCTTCCTGCTGTGCAAAATTTCATTGCAAAATTTATTTTATTGGCTTTCTTTCAAGCTTTTGAAGGTCAAAATTTACTTTTTAAAAACTTTTACATCTAGACCAAAATTAAATTTTTTTTTTTATCTATAAGACTTAGAATAGATGTAATTGATGTGAATAAAATAAAGTTTCCCATGAAATCAAGTGAACGATCCTCTTTATTTTCCTATTTCTGCGCAAATCCACGTCTAAACTTTTATGTAAATCAGTAAATGTTTTTTGTAGAAATCCAAAACTTTTATTCAAACGTACGAGTCTGAATATGATCATTAGCTATATTCTTCAAAACTTTTTGTTGTTGTGAAACTTAACTCAGTACATATCATCATATGTTTTAAAATGCCGGGCTTGGAATAAGCTTAGCGCCCTTTTTCTATTTCTAGTAAGAAATTGAGCTTTTAACTGTGGATTTTCAAAAAGCTATTTTTACGTCGTATTTTAATAAACAAAAATAAGCAAAGGGTTACCCATAAAAGATGAGACTGTAATTACGACCTGAAAAACTTAAAATTTGCACGATTTTAAGTTTAATATAAGTCTTCTGCCTTGAATAATGTTTTTGATGGCTTATTTAATGATTTGGCAAACAAAGAAATCAGTTGATATGTTTGCAGGGAATCATGAATATAAGGAAACATTCAATATAAATTCCCTTCAGTCGTCTTATTCCATCTCTTTCTTCATTGGTAATCCTGTAGAAAAGTAGTATCTTAAATTATTTTGTAGAGAGAAGAAGCAGAATCCGCTTTCCTTCAACATAGGCAGGTTTTAAAAAATAATGCAAAAAGTGTGGATCTCAACATATTAAAAATTATAAATGTTTGCAAAAAAATGTTCTTAAAATGATAACATGTAAAATACGTCTTTAGTCAATTTAAAAGTTTACAAGTTCAAAGATAAAAGTCTTATAAACTACAGTAGAAAACGCCTATACAATATTTTCATAAACGCTTGTCACCAATATTACAGATTGGGCATTGATGGAAAAATTGGACCAGCCCCCATCAGGCTCAATAATTCTTAATATGACATCAACAGCTACAGTTCACGTCAAACGAAAGTAAGATGCAAGTAAGATTGACAAATTATATATTTTTGATCATATCTTCTGTTATTAAAGAGATATTGAGAAGAACAAAAATGTTTTGAATTTATAATATGTAACCGAATAAATTTGCTAGAGGAGCAACGGAGTCACAAAGCTGTGATAGTAATGTCAATTGAAATTGACCTTATCCTTCTGGTTAGTTTGCAGTGAGTTTTCTTAAAGGTACTCTGAACAGTCTTGTAAAATCAAGCATGAATGGGATATTTAAGTGGGGGGGGGGGTGCCTTTGACGCCATCCCCCTTCCATTTTTATTGTCCTGGCACTTTTATTTTTGACATAATTACCTCGAGTCTTTTAAACATACAGATTGGTAAAAAGGCCGGTCGGAGTTGACAAAATTTGCTAAAAGCCTTTAACTTGTATGTTATTTAAGCTACAGAACTGCATTTTTAAAAAGCCCTCGAAAAATGGGCCTAAAAACATTTTGCACACCTTAACATTTGTTAAAAGCACAACAAATTTTTTATACATTTTTCCGGCCTTTTTAGACCTTAAATATTAAACATAAACATTGCAACTCTATAATTTTAATAAAAGACCTTTATCAATCGTAGATTCAGACCCCCCAGCCTGTTTTAGGTTTAAATAGAGACTCTTTGAAATTTCAAGAACAGTTTCTTAAAACAATAGTTCATAAAGCTAGAAAGAACTTTTATATATAAAGGGTATGAATTAGGTGAGTAGTGTTTACATTATTGACAAGATGCATGTATATTGTATATTGTACGTGAATAATTGATTCAATTATACAGAAAATCTATTTCGTTTTTCTTACAAAATTTAATATTAACAAATTTTCCTCAAAAAACATATTTTTGACAAGGAAAATATGCACTTTTTAATTTTAAACAAATAAAGATTTTGTTCTAAAAAATGAACAATATGTTAAATTATTTAAAGCAAAACATTCATTTCTATAATTCTTAGGGAACAGGAATTTCGAATGGAAACCACAGTGCCGTTCGAAAGCCAAAAACTTAACTCTTTACAACTTAAATTTGAGGCGAAAGCATTGTGAATTCAGAAGGTTCGTTCGGTTTCTTTATCTTATTTGAAGGTCAAAAATTGGCATAACAAATGTTTTCAACATTTATTAAAAACTATTTTTAGCAAATAGCGTGGTGTGTTTAAAAAAAAAGATCTAAAAAACAGTTTTTTTCGTTTTTTTTTCAATTCCGCCAATTTTATCAGATAATTCTTTTAGTACAATATGTGTCTCTTTTTTTATTAAAAAACCTTAGAAATTAGGAATTTCTTAAATTTAACGTTCTTCACCTAATACATAAAATTAAGAACAATAAGATATGTTCATCCTCTCTATATCAGAAATAAATCTTCAAATCAAAACTGTTAGAAAAAAGACTCCTTTTGATCAAAAGTAAAGGGTCAAGGCCCAAAGGATTTGAGTCTTTGCAACAAATCCCAATTTTCTAATACCTATATATCTACAACCAAATTATGTAAACTTTTGATATTTCAAACTTTGATTGATTGACATAACAGAAGTCATAGTTTGAAATATCTAAGGTCTACAACATTGGGTTGTTAAGATATAGGGATTTAAAAATCAGAATTTGTGGCAAAGACTCAATTCCTTTGAGACTTTTTAGGCATAAAAACCCTTCAAACCCCCAGACCACCCTCTTTTCTGGAACACAATTTTTATTACCTTACAGACATGCAGTACTAGTTGCAAAAAAATGAGAATGAGAATAGTAAACCTGCGATACTCTTGAAGTCCCGGAGGAAATCTTCATTATTGGAGTACTGACCTGAAAGAGACCCCCTTTCATTGGAGACCAAAGATTTTCTTTACAGACCCCAAATTTTCCTCAAAGACCAAAAATTATTCATAGGAGACCCGTCGCTCTTTATTTGAGACACCAAATTTTCGTTAAAGGCCCAAAACTCATCATTTTAACTTGGACTTGGGGCCCAACATAAAATATGGGGGTGTCCTATAAAAATCTTGAGTTCTATAGTAATAAATAAATAAACAATGAAACTCTTGGTTAATATTAGTGCCTTTAATAATAGGCATTGGGTCTCCAATAGAAATAAGAGGTCTTCAATGAGATTGCCGTCGAGTCTCCGATGGAAGGGTGTTTCTGATGAAATGGGTCTCCGACCATACTCCAATGATAATGATTTCTTTCCCAACTCCGACTCTCACGGTCCTAAAAACTTCTTTACTTACTGTAATGTAATTTCAAGTTACTCTTTGTTTAATGATTTTCAAAACAGTATCTTCTGTTTGAACCTATCTTCACAATACTGCAGAAAAACCTGTTGGTTTTCAAGCTTGAGAAGTTGAGACTTGTTTCTATAGCAGAAAGTCGTAAGCCATGCTCTTACAGAGAATCCTAATTGAAAATAGATAGAACGTATTTTTCCTCATTGTCTCTCAGATAAGGTTTGAATGGCAAAGCTCAAGGAAAAAGACAGGAATTCTGATAACACTAACTGTACTGCAGTTTTTTTGGGAGGAATGTAAACAAACAAACAAACACAGTGCTTCCCACACGTCAAACTAAAGTACATTGCACTGAAGATCGAAATCGTATATGTTTTCAATCAGAACTCCCTGTATTATAGAGATTTTGAGAAGAGAAAATATTTTAAATTTCTGAAATGTGGCCAAATAAAGTTTCCTTTCTTAAACCTGTGCGCAAAATCAAAACTAGAGGAGCAGCGAGGTCACATCGTCGTACCATTATAATGTCTTTGATCCTCTAAGCTATGTTTACATTCCTCTCAGAAACTGTAAAAAATACAAAAGTTTTATTTTCTTGGGGTATATATGTTTCTCCAAAAAAGTAGCCCTATACACTTTGCTTGCTGTTCACGCAAAATATGGAAATATTTTTTTAGTCTCTACGTGGTAACAAAAAGATGAAGAAGATTATCAGAGTAAAGGATGGAACTTTGTATAGACTCTACGAGGTATAGAGATGATACATATCCGAACAGTACAGAGTAAGTCTCTGGAACCAACGGAGCCAAACTTTCAGAAAACAACACTAACATTTTGATAGTGATAGTATATCTTAATCTATTGAAAACATTTCAAAATTATATATTAATGACAACATTTTGCATGAAATTATTAAAACATTTTTTTAATTGTCAAAAACTCTTTTGAAAACAGAGTTGAGATCGAGATCATGCTAAATTTTCTTTAGTTTAAACAGAAAGAATTAAGGATTTCAGATTTCAATTTCCCATTCAAAATTTTTTGTTTGTTTTTTTACCTAAGGAAAGAAAGCGATTTTGGGTTTGAAACCTGATTTTTTAATTTTATGGTTTCCCACAAAAGACGACCAAAAACTCTAGAAATATGACGAATTGAAGCTTGATTCTTTTGTCGGTAACTAACTTTGGCGGTATCTTTTAAAATTTTGGACCTATTATTTGATATTACAGAAATAGCAAATGCAAAGAATGAATACAACATTTCCAAACAGTACAGTACAACTAATGTAAGTACATTTCCTATATGCAACAAAGCTACAGTGAGGAACGGGGGAAATGAAATTTTCGACAAATTTGACTGAGTATTGCATCTTGAAATATCACAAAGTTGGTTAATTAGTGATTTTAAGATGGATTTAGTATAATGAGTCTCCCCCTAACCCTGCTAGCAACAACACATCTCTGTGACTCTCTCTCCTAGCCTGATACCAGCTGACCTAGCTGTTGCTATGGCGGGGAGTTTAAAAGACAAACAATGAGAATTACACATAAACTCTTGGAGTTGTATAGGGAAGGAGTGGATCTAGGACTGGATATCAAGCTTAACCTGTGGACTAAAGATGGAGAAGAATTTTTCTCATTTTCTAGAGTTTCTCGACCCGTCAACCGGAGAAGGAGAAGAAACAGAGGTGTGATGTCAACTCTGAAGGAAGTGATACTACCCCAGCAAGAAGTGCAGTCTCCCTTGAAGGAAGTGCGGTCCCCTCTGAAGGAAGTGCAGTCCCCCCTTAAGGAAGTTCGGTCCCCCCTGAAGGAAGTGCGGTCCCCCCTGAAGGAAGCTAGACAACCCTTGCGGGATGTGTCAAAGTCCCCATGTCAGGAAATCGGGCGCCCATGGAAGATTGTAAGGAACCCCGTGAATGAAGCTAGACCTCCTCTACTAGAAGATAGGAAAGCCAAGATGAAAAGAGCTAGATCTCCATCCATCACTTCCTGCCCTATTCCCCAGCTTGATGGGATATGTACACCATCAACACCTAACACCAATCTTCTTTTCAGGCCTAAGGTTACTGAGGAATCTGATCCTGAGTCAGCGCCTGAACCTGAACCTGATCCTGAGTCTACGCCTGAACCTGAACCTGAGACTGAGTCTGCGCCTGAACCAGAACCTGATTCTGAGTCTGCGCCTGAACCTGAACCTGAGGCTGAGTCTGCGCCTGAACCTGAACCTGAGACTGAGTCTGCGTCTGAACCTGAACTTGAGGCTGAAGCTGGTCCAGAATCTGAAACTGAACTTGAAATCGAACTAAAACCACCTGTGAACATTGCAAACCCAGTTTTTACTTTCTGTGAAGAAAAAGAATGTACAGTTTGCCCAGTTAGACACAACGCAATTAGAGCATATGAAAAAGTAGACAACCAAAAATATCAGTTGGTTAATAACTATAGGAAGTTCTGTTGTTTCTCAGCAATGGATGACGAGGGAGTCAGCTGCGAAATATTGCACTGGCATTCAAAGTCTAATCTGTGTCTATCATATGAATCATTTATATAGAAAATAAATAATGTAGTTTTTCCATTTATGAAAGTTGTAAACTTGCAATACAAATGTAATATTTTAATCTCTGCTACAAAATAAATATTTAGATTTAAAAAAAGTATAATGAGTCAGAAATTGAATAATCATTAGACTTTGTGATATTTCAAGATGCAATACTCAGTCAAATGTGTCAAAAATGTCATTGTAAAACAGTTGAAGAATTCAGCACACAAAATATTAATCTTAAGAAGAATTGAAAAAAAGGTTTGAGTTGTGCCTTTTTGCGTGGCGGGGCTGGATTTTTTAAAATCGCACTCAAAAGGCCCTAAATATACCATTTAAAAAAGTAGTTTCGCCCGGAAGAGTCAAATGTGGTGGCACAGATGGGGAAATAGTGGTGGCTCATGGCTGCCGGAAGAGAAAAAAGCTAATATGTGTTACGGAGGGGGAAATAGTGGTGGCTCATGGCCGTCTGCCTTCCCCCGCTCCAGTGAGAACTTTATGTAATTGGAATGAATTTGTTCTTGCTTTTACTAGAGCAATGTCGCTTAGAATATTCTAATGTCAGATCTTTTGTGTCTTGGGAATCTTGGGATCAAGCGGAGTTATATCCAGTACATGGCCAAACCCACCCTGGAGGCTGTCTGGATAATTTAAATCGAGATCAGGCTTTTAATAAGATTATTAACCCTATCCCTGCTGGAGTACTTGATCCCCGACCCTCTAAATCCTGTGTTTGATGTACGTCCAAATATGCCAAATGATACATCTTTGGAAAGTTTTTACGCTCTACTTTCAGAACCTACAAAAAAATCACAAAGGAATTAAGTCTTTGCCACAAACTCTAATTTTTTAATCCCTATATCTTAGACATTGCACCCAATGTCGTAGACCTTAGACATTTCAAACTATGAAATGTGTTAGTACAAGTGTTCTAAGTTTGAAATATAAAAGGTTTACACCATTAGGCAAGATATAAGCATTAGAAAATTTGAGTTTGTGACAAAAACTCAATTCCTTTGGAGAAAATTTTTATAACCTGATGTATAATTAAAAAAATAAAAGAGTGCAAATTTCTTTTGACGGGTTGCTTGTATGCAAATAATGTACAAACATTTCTTTGCAAAACTTATGCATTCCGCTTCCTCATGTTATAGGCTTTCCAAAAAGAAAGAAATTCTGACGACTGAAAGTGGGTCAAAACAAAGATTTAGTTTGTTTCAGGAAAAAGTAGTCATTCAGGCAATGTCCTTGAATGACCGCTTAAGCATGTTAGTATCAAAGTCCGGTTTTAGACTTGAAGGGATGACTATGGGTATTTAGAAACAGTCAGAAAATTTAAACAACTCCAAACCAAAAAAAAACTACAGGGGGGCCCCATCCAGCAGGAATAGGGCAAATATCCACATAAAAGATTTGATCTCTGTGTACATTTTTGAAATAGTTCAGTTTCAAAATCATGATTGAAAGAAAAAAGATATCAAAAATTCCATTTTTTATCTGGTTTCATTTTTTAATTGATTGCATTCAATTAAATCAAATTTGAAATTTCCGCAACCATTAAAGTTGGTGGTTTACCCCCTTCCACACTCATTCCATTCAGACTATTCAGGGTTAAATCTAGATAATGATTGGCATGGCAACATAAAACATGCCAGAAAATATTTATCTAATCTTTATACATACTTTGCTTGTCTGTCTGTTTGTTTTTATATATTTGATCGATCAGAGCTTTATCATATTGATAGATTGAAGTTTTCAATCCTTTTTTAATTGAAATTTAATTTTTAAATAAAAATGATTTGTTCACACATTTAATGAGGTGATTATTTTTGCATGAAGAATTGTTTGTTGATAGTTTTGAGTAGTGTAGAAAGACCAATTGGTTTTGAAATTCTAAGTTGAGTGGGGTTGACTTTTTTAGGGAAAATCCAGGCAAAGGGTTTCGAACCTAATCTTAAAATATAATGATTTCCCAAACTTTAAATTTCCATTATATTAGCTTTGATCATAATGCAAAGTTTTTGTTTGAAAAATTTGATCGAAAAATCTGAGCAGTTATTTTAAATTAAAAGAAGAAAATCTCTTTAATAACGAAAATGTTTTTAATTAAAAATAAAAATTATATCGGAAATATTGAGCAAGGAAATCGTATCTAAGTTAACACATTTTTATCTAAAAAACAAAACGCACAAAAAAAATGCGTCTCTATCTTTATCTTTATAATATAATATAGCTATATTCTATATGTTATGATTTGATAATATTCTGATAAGATAAATCTTGCCAAGTATCTCAATATATTATATAAAAGGACAATGCAGATCAGAAAAATACAGGATTTTACCTCTATTTAAAAGACTGGATCCCCCATTTAAAAAAGAGGGGTATGACCGATTTACAGCGGTACTTTAAAAACCTTAAAGGGAGTATTTACGAAAAATGAAAGGGGGTATAGGCTTACGGCGATAAAAAATCGCTTTTTATCGCTACTAATCTTACTTCTATTTGTTGCATCTATAAGGAAAAAAATGCTTAAACCGACTTATACTGAAGAACGTTGCCTCCATACAAAGTCAGAATGTTGCAATATACAACTCGGATCGCTAAAAACTCAATTTATTTTCAAACAAATCATTCAGATATTACAACCTATAGTCATCGATTATTTTTTCGACGCATTCATACATAGCTAACATTTCAAATATTTTTTATTTGTTTTGTATACAATTCACTTAAAACGCCGAAATAGTTGGCCGAGGTTTCTCTGCTCTCTATGCTTTGAATGATTACACATGGCAGAGACACCTAGTGGAAGAAACGTTGCTTTAAGTGCAATTGTATGTAAAACAAATAACAAATATCATGAATTCCTTACAGTCCATTCAAGAATTATAATTGGTTAAATACTCCTTTTGATGAATGACAATCTAAAATTCAAATTGTTTTTGTTTTTAAACTAAGTCGGCCATGCATTCAAATCTATTTTTGTTTAAAAGTCAAGAACATCTAGTTTCAAAAGTTAGAAGAATGAATACAAAATGGTTTAAGGTTACCGTTATTGCATCAAACATTGTCCTCTCTCTGCATGGAGGGTCACTATACATTCCCTTTAATATTAACAAATTTTTAGAAATGATACAGGGTGTGGTGGTATGAGTGAGAGAGAAACACAACTAGCAGATTCATGTTCCTATTGGTTGGAAGGTGTTCTATTGGTAAATATCTCTCTCTTTCTCTCTCTATATATATAAATATATATTATCCTCATATTGATAGCCTGCCGTTTTATCTTCTTGGCTTGGCGGCAAATTATACTTAAACTGCAGTCAGGGCTGTTTTTTTAATACAACATAATTTCTACAATATTAGTGTTATATTTCGTTTCTTCGTATTAATATTAATACGAAATCTATATATTTGCTTGTTTGGGTGTCTGTCTGTCTGTCAGGGTGTCCGTTTGTGTCCAATAAACGTCAAAACAGCTGAACCGATCGGGCCCAAAATTTGTGTAGAACCTCAAATAACCCCATGGAAGGTTTATGCATGCTCAAAATTACAAAAAATGAATTATTTATCATTTCCATAAGATAATTTGTAATGCATATCTACATTAAAAGAATTTACAACCAGTTAAAATCCTTTATTTTTCACAAGCATTCTGGTTGATTCAGTTGGACATATTAAGTGATTCCCATAAAAAATAAAAATACAGAACCGATTTTTGGATTAAATGTCGTCTTTAAAATGACAAAATTAATTAGTTGTCATTAAAAAGGCAACACAAAGACAAATGTTGGCTTAAATGTCGTCTTTATGATGACAAAATTCCATTAAAAGAGGGAGTACAAAGACGACATTTGAATCAAATATTGTCTTTTTAATGACAAAAATTAAGTGGTTCCTATTAACAACGAAATACAAAGATGACTTTTTGATTAAATGTCGGTTCCAGGAAATAAAAGCTACATGGTTCCTCCATGACAATTATTGAAAAACTGGATATGTATAAAATTTTTGTACAAAATAAACCACTGTGTACATGTGCCATGTGTATTATAATGTATTGAAGTGTGCATGTGAATAATGTAACGTAAACAGTACAGTGTATAATGTACGTAAACAGTACAGTGTATAATGTACGTAAACAGTACAATTATACACATTCATTTTGCCCAGGGATGTTTAAAATTGATTTTGTGTGTAAAAATGTATTTTTTTGCAAGTTTCGGCAAACCCGATATCCTCAACATAAAATATGTTAGTTTTAGCAAGTTACAATGAACTGAAAATTATGCATTTTCCGCGAAAGACAATAAGGTGAAACGTCCGGCTATCTATGATATAATTCAATAACTTTTAACCATGTTCCTACTACTGACGTCTCCTTCACTTAAAATATCCCCCCCCCCTTCCTTTTGTAATACTGATCACATTATTTGAATACATTTTTAAAAAGTTATTTCGCAATTTATACTGAAAGAACATGCCAAGGTATAATGTAAAAATGTGCAAACAAAATTTCGCAAAACTTATATTATATTCTAAAATATTTGATATTCAAAAATTAACGTATTTAAAAAAGAAAATGAAAAAGGTTGAAATCTAAAGACTGAAACTGGGTTTGAAAAGAAGTTAGACTGGCTTAGGTAAAATATGGCTTTCACGCACTTAATATTCTTGAGTTTAGAAAGCAGGCAGTAAATATAAAATCTATGCTTTTTTTAGCCAAACATGAGTCAGGCATGAGACCCGTCAGGAAAGGTGGAGGAAAATGTGCGCTAGATAGTGACCTGTATATTTTGTTAAATCAACTACACTGATCATTCTTGTTATTAGGTGCAGTACGTGGAAAAGAGATATGAAAACAAATAGTTGGGGGGAAGGGGGGTTTATTCATGATCTATTTGGGTTATAAAAAAAATCATAGCCTTTTCTTCACCTTAATTGTACATAATAAAATGGTAAATTTCTCATGAATATACAGTACTCCCCTAAATAAAATGGTAAATGACGACAACCTCTCATAAATATACAGTGCTCCCAAAAATAAAAATGCTTACTCAACTAAATTTTTTATATTATCAAATGGGTCATTCCTAATCACCACATTTTGTGGTCAATGTCTCCGATTTTGCTTAAAATTTCAGGATTCCTTTTTTAGGAAATATTTTCGGGGGAAATGCAATATTTTTTATGTTTGACCAATTGAAAGGTCTTATTTGGTCATTTAAAAAAATCTATTTTTTCATGTTTTGAAAATTGTAAAATTCATGAATTATTACGTTTACAAAGAGACAGTAACTTTTAAAGCTATAACAATTCTTGATATCAATTTAGAAACCTATGACAATTGTCTTTTTATTTTTTTGGTAACTATTGTAATTCGTATTTTTAAAATCTGATATACAGGGTGTCAAAGAAAAAGAGGATGTTTTTCTTTATTTTTTGGAAAAACGGCCAAAAAATTGAACATGACCCTCTTTGATTTTAGAAAAAATCTCAAATTATCTTCATTATATTGATAAGAAACACTTAAAAAATCCTGTTGACATTCGGACAATAAGTTGGTTAAAAGCCTGATTTTCTGGGAACACCCTGTATTTTTGTCATTTTTTCTCTTTTTCGAGTCTTGAAAAATTGAGATTGAAGGCTAAAATATTGCATGCTGCCTCCAATTGTCGTCATATACAAAGATTGTGAAAAAAATTTGGTATTGGTGGTCATTGACCTCCATTTTAACCTCCAAAAATGCAGAGAAAAGGGGAAAATAGCATATTTGTCACTGTAAATCAATTACATTTTCCTCCTTCGTTAATTTGAATTCTGTTAAATCACCCAGGATATTTAAAACTTCGAATATTTAACCCTGCCATTTCAAATATGGAAACAAAGGAATTGAATCTTTGCCACAAACTCTGCTTTTCTAAACCCTATATCTTTGGATTCCAATGTCGTTGACCTTAGATATTTCAAACTATGAATTCTGTTAGATCAAATAATATAATTTTGAAATATCAAAGATTTACGACATTGGGTTCCAAAGATATAAGGCTTATAAATTCAGAGTTTGTGGCAAAGACTCAATTCCTTTGCTAAATTTTAAATTAAAGTGTTAAAGGGTGGGCTATGGTTTTCTTCAGAGTCAGAAAATTTCAACAGCCAGTAACCAATACTTATGGAGTTATGTAAAAAAAACTTATTTAATTGCTATAAATGGGTTCAAAAGTTTAGACTTTCTAAACTTTTAATCAGGTCCTCTAGTTCAACGTGAGCTTGTATGTCCGAGACATTTTCATTGTAGATCTTCAAACAGCTCAGTGCAAGCAAAAGTTTAATTTAGAGGAAAGGTTTCTTGTAATAGATCCGTTTTAGTTTCACAACTTTAATTCTGTGATAAAGGGGATGTCTGTCGGGGAAGAAACTACTATCATAGAGTAATAACAAACCATTTCTGGTTGGAAACTATAAGATTTTCTTGGAGGCCCTTAGATTTTCTTGGAGGCCCTTAGATTTTCAATGCATGCAGACCTCTAAGATTTTTATTGGAGACCTCTTTCATTTTTATTTGAGGCCCTGGCTAGATTTTCATTGGAGATATTTAGATTTGTAATGGAGATATTTGGAGACCGCTGAGATGTTCTTCGGAGGACTTACATTATAATTGGATGCTCTAGATTTTCATTGGAGGCCTTTCAGATTCGTATTGGAGTTCCAAAAGATGTTTACAGGAGGCCCTAGATTTTCATCCAAGACCTCATAAAAAAAAACTCATATAAAACTTTAGAAGATTCCGGAGTAAATTTGGATGTCTCCTATCTCTGAGAATATCAAAGTAAATATCTAGTGGCATCCGTTTAAAAAAATGAGGTCTCCAATGAAAACCAGGGATTATCTGACAAGATTGGGTCTCCGATCAAACACCGTCATGAAGGAAGTAAACCTCTGTTGAGGCAATGTTTAAATTGAAAGTTTTTGTTCCTGTTTGAAAACACAATTCATGGCCTATCATATTTGTTGCCACGTCTTGATACATCCCAACAAAGCTTAAATTAAAATAAGGGGGGGCATAGAAAAAGGCAGAAAATAGCCAGTTTTTTATCAAGACAAGATTGGGAACTCAGCTTTTCCAGGAAACCCTCTCAATTCAGAATTTTTAAACCAAGTTAAGAACATTCCGACCGAGTTTATCTGATCAATATCGTAGAAAATGTCACTTTTAGTGTTTGACTCTGATACTTTCTGTATGTAACTTTTGCAGTTATCCTCGCCACAATTGCTAATAATCAGATTTCAAAATTATAAACATAGATATCTAATTCACACTTTATCAGACAAATGTTACATGGGTACCTTTATGAATCAGGAATTGTAATCTTTGCATGAAGGGTCACTTAAGAATTAGATAATATTTATTTGAATGTTTTTTTTAGGAACCTTTCAACAAACATTGTTCAGAACCCCGATTCTAAAAAATGAATTAAGACTAAATAACATTGTCATTATGTTTATAAGTATTTCGCTAAAACTTTAATTGCTTTAATTAATGTATCTGTAGTATCCACAAAAGTACCTCTAAATGCCTATGAATATGTTTAAATTGAATTGTTCATTGGAACCTGTTTCTTTTTATTAAAAATATGTTGAAACACATTTCAATAGTTGAATGTTTTGAGTCAGGTTGCATCTATAAAGTTTTCTTGAATTTCTCTATTTAAAACCTAAACTTTGAAAAGAGGAGTTTTTAACCGCTGACACATGTATTTTTTATATCTATAGAAGAGATTGTTACAACTTGTCCAAAACTGTCGCCCTTTGATTGCATTGATATGTTAAAATTAATGATAACATGTTATAATTTGATACATGACTATGAATGTTAATCGGTTTCAAAAACGATCGTTTTAAAAACGATCGTTTGGTTTTCGGATTTTTTTCTTTTTTAACGAAACTAAACTATCGTTTTTTTTAAAAAAAAGCCAGAACTGTCCATCCCTGGATAGTGGATACGTCTATACAATTAACTGTCCATCCCTGGATAGTGGATACGTCTATACAATTAACTGTCCATCCCTGGATAGTGGATACGTCTATACAATTTATTTTTAAGCCTCAATGGTTACTGATGACCTACAACACTATAATATTGATATGACAATCCTAAGTAATTCTTCTGAAGTGGATAAAGTCTGTTAATGGCCCTTTTTAAACGATTTGGCAAAGACAGTATAAATTCCGTACAGTCGTCTCTAAAGTCTCATCCTTTGTTGGTAACCCTGTAGCTGCTCTTTTCTAATGCTTGATCTTGATCTTGATATCCACAGTGGCAACTTCTAAATTTGAAAAGTAAGTGCTTGATCCCTTAATCTTAGTTCTCTATGAGGATTTCATGACGGTTACAGATACTAATAAAGTTTGATCCTGGATATATTTGAAAAATATATTAAATTATAAAAAAAATTAAATAACGAAAGCTGTGTGCGAATTACAATCATATTCTCCTGATTATTTGACGAGTCCGAGTTCAATCTTATTAAAATTGTACTTTTTTTCTTCACAGCCAGGGAACAACAAAAATCGGTTCACAAAAATCGGTTCACAAAAAAAAGTTTTCAACGGAATATCCAACACTTTACCATCCCCCCACCGGGCCAACTTTTCACCAGCCAGCCACATCTGTACAATTCACGTACATACTAAAAAAAGGCAAAACTGGACACCAAATGAATAATCTCCTTTTAGGAAATTTATGTAACCTTACTTACAACTTACCACATTGTCTGAAAACTTACCCCAACCCCTCCCCCCCCACTCACCTCACAACTTACCACCTCACCTCACTTACGACCCCACCTCACCTCACAACTTACCGCCATATTTCAAAACATTACACCCAACCAAAGCATTTGCCATCCCACCTTACAACTTTATACAATCCAACCTTACAACTTACTATCCAACCTTACAACTTACCATCCCACTTTACAACTTACCACTCCACCTTACAACTTAATATCTCACCTTACAACTTACCATCCCACCTTACAACTTACCATCCCAGCTTAAAACTTAATATCTCATCTTACAGTTACAACTTACCTTCCCACCTTACAACTTACCATCCCACCTTACAACTTACCATGACACCTTACAACTTACCATCACACCTTACAACTTAGCAACTCACCTTAAACTTACCATCTCACCTTACAACTTAATATCTTATCTTACAACTTACCATCCCGCCTTACAACTTAATATCTCACCAGACAACTTACCGTCCCACCTTACAACTTAATATCTCACCTTACAACTTACCATCAAACCTTACAACTTAATATCCCATCTTACAACTTACCATCCCACCTTACAACTTAATATCCCGTCTTACAACTTAATATCTCACCAGACAACTTACCGTCCCACCTTACAACTTAATATCTCACCTTACAACTTACCATCCCACCTTACAACTTAATATCCCATCTTACAACTTACCATCCCACCTTACAACTATTATTAGAGGTGAGTACATATATATTTCCGATATTGTATTTATCTCCTTGACAATACTTGACTACAGTCTTATTAAAGGTGAGAACATATATATTTTCGATCTTGTATTTATCTGCTTGACAATACTTGACTACAGTCTTATCAGAGGTGAGTACATATATATTTCCGATATTGTATTTATCTCCTTTACAATACTTGACTACAGTCTTATTAGAGGTGAGTATATATATATATATTTCCGATATTGTATTTATCTCCCTGACAATACTTGACTACAGTCTTATTAGATGTGAGTACATATATATTTCCGATATTGTATTTATCTGCTTGACCATACTTGACTACAGTCTTATTAGAGGTGAGTATATATATATATTTCCGATATTGTATTTATCTCTTTGACAATACTTGACCACAGTCTTATTAGAGGTGAGTACATATATATTTCCGATATTGTATTTATCTCCTTGACAATACTTGACTACAGTCTTATTAGAGGTGAGTACATATATATTTCCGATATTGTATTTATCTCCTTGACAATACTTGACTACAGTATTACAACTTACCATCCCACCTCACAGGTTACCATTCCACCTCACAACTTACCCTCTAAACTCATAACCACCTCAACCCATACTTTCCCAACCACCATAAACTTTCCACTGTATTTCATGTGATAAACTATATTTTATTATAAATAGTTTTCTCGAAGTAGATTATCAATTCTTTGATAATTTATTTGGTTTTCTCCATTTTTCACACCTTCCTAATAACATCTTTTATTTTAAAAAAATTATTTGAAAAATTCCTTTCAATATTATTTCTGGATAACATTTTTTTAAGTTAAAACAAAAAAGTTTGATTTAAGTTCTCCATTATTTATTTTTTCACTCTTTTCCACAGAAACAGATGTAAAGGAATTGAGTTTTTTTCTAATCCCTGACCCTAGCTTTTCAACCCTATGTAATATACCTTCGATATTTCAATCTATAAATTCTGTTAGATCAAATAATCTAAGTTTAAAATCTCAAAAGTTCTCATTCATCAAGTGGCAAAAATATAGGGATTAGAAAATTTGAGTTTGTGACAATTACTAATTTTCTTTCATTTTAGTCTCCTTGTTTATCTTTCTTGGTAATGTTATTACTAATTGGAAATATTTATATATATATATTTTATTTATTTAGACTACAGTCTTATTAGAGGTGAGTACATATATATTTCCGATATTGTATTTATCTCCTTGACAATACTTGACTACAGTCTTATCAGAGGTGAGTACATATATATTTTCGATATTGTATTTATCTCCTTGACAATACTTAACTACAGTCTTATTAGAGGTCAGTATACTTATAAAAACCACATTTAATAACCATATCATGATTGGGCTATGTTTGGCTAATATGATTTTGCCTATAAAGTTGAGATAGCAGAGTGTGATATATGAGATACATATGTCCCTAGTCCAACTTTCCAAGGCCTATGGCCGAGTTTAAAGAATTTGAGCGGCGGTTTAAATTTAAGCCGTGGCTTAAATATGGTTGGTTCCACTTAAAATTGTATCAAATGTTTCAAGTTTTAAGTCGGCGCTTAATTTAAAACTAGTTTTGGCGGATTTTGGCGGATCTAAACCGCGACTCAAATTCTTTAAATTCCATCTCAGATCATATAAATATTAGACCACATATATCTGAAATAGTTAGGGTGCAAGGGAGGATTTAAAAAGTTCAAAAGTTATTTCTGAAAAATGTTTTAAAAAAATAATTTTTCTTTTGACAAATATTAACATGTGATACATTGTATTACATCCATTATTCAAGGACGTTTTAATTATATAAATTTTAGAGTATAGCACGTAGCAGGTAGCTTTATTAATAAACTTTTAAATTTCTAAAGTTGTAAACATATTTAAATTTTTTTAAAGGGACAGACCGGCTATGTACGGTAGTTGAACTAAGTTTGCATTGTTGTGGAAAGCTTCTTTGGGATTCATTTGAGACATATAAAACTTTATAAAGATCTGTAAACCCTGAGTTTGAGCGCAAATTCGACGTTCAAAACTTTTACTTTGGGGGTGGTAAGGTTTTCAGAATCTGTTTTTTTAAAATTATTAAATAACGGCGACGAAAAATAAAATAAAAATTATACAGTAATCAAATTAAATGGTTAGGAACATATTTCTGAAAAGAAATTTGTCAATAAATCAATGCTAGAATCAGTTTTTTCGTTTTCATCATTATGTTGAATTTCTTATTTTCTTTTAATTTATCCACAGATTTCTGCAAATTTTTCAAATGTCGTCTTTTCAATAATAATTCCAGAAAATCTGCAGGATACCTTTGTAAATAATGAGAAACCATAGAATAATAAGAAAATAGAATCTAATAATAGAAGAAGATTACTTATTTTCGATGATAAGATTAATTAACTACCTTACATAGCAGGTCTGTCCCAATCTAAGCATAGGGTGGGGTGGAGAGCGGTCCTTAACGGCTGGTTGGTGTTTAAAAAAACAAGTTTAAAACTATTTTAGTAATTAATCTCAAGATATAAAAATTATTTATTTGAAATGTCCTTAAAAAATGGATGTATATAAGGAATATATGCTCTTCAGCTTGTATCTGCAAAAATGTGACTTTATCACTAAAAGAGTTTATGATTCGGGGTCAGAGTAAAAATGTGTAAAGTCGGTAAGGAGGGGCTGCATAATCTACATGGCTTAATTTCAAAATAATCGACTAATCCCTTTAAAATAATAAAATTTTGAATAATTTTCATAATTTAGTTTTTGTTTGGAAAAATGATCCCCATGTCTGGGTTTATCTTGTGCCAAAGGTAAGTTAAATAATTATTTTTGAAGTCACACAGATATCAATAGAAAATTAGATTAAAATAACAGCCTGAAACTTTTTGAATATCACGGCCTATGCCACTAAATTCAGTTTGGACCTATATACTTAATTAAATTGGCATTTCTATTTAATAAGTAGTAATCTCTGTTTGTCTGTTTGAATGTCCGATCATAACTCATGAACCCCTTGACCGATTTGCCACTCATTTTTATTGGAAAACTTGGGAGAACCACAGGAATTAAGTTTTAGGGTTCCTGAAATGTTATAAATAAATCTCATTCTTTTTGGACAACCCTATTTCTTTAAACTATTCAAAGTACATCTATTTGCCGTACGGGTTTCCATACTTTTGGCCTTTTAGATAAAAAATTAAACCCAATTATTTCCGGGAATCTGGGAATTGGGATCAATGTGCAATTGAATGAAACTAAAAGCAATTTAATCTCTTTCATAAATTTACGAAACTTTGCGAGAAAAATAACACCTCGATTCCTTTAAAACGCACTATAGCAATTAGTTATGACTAAAATGAACTGAACACACGTCACAAACTCTAATTTCAAAATCCATCTTTACAACCAGATGGTGTAAAACTTTGAAATTTCAAAGGAACTGAAACTTTGTCACAAACTAAAATATGTATGTTCAACCTGATAGTGTAATTTTGATTAGTGTGATTTTCAAACTTAGATTCTTTGATCGATCTAACAGAATACATAGTTTGAAATATCGAAGGTCTGCAATTAGGTAGCAAAGCTAAAGGAATTAGAAAATAATGAGTTTATGACAAAAACTCAATTTCTTTAGACTTTCTCGTTTATCAGAAGTCAATATTTGAAGTATCAAAAGTCTACAACATCAGCTTCAGTTCTTTTTGTGTTTTTTTATGTTACTTACAATGTGAGTAATTTAATTGAAGATTAGAGTGGTGGCAAGAACTCAATTCCTTTAAACTTAAAATGAAAAACCATTAGTCTTTACTGCACATACGGATCAGTCATCTCTTACATCAATAGATGAGTAACGTTTTGAAACGTTTTGATTGGTGCAGCATTATTATTAAAACTCAGCCCTCGTAACTTTTAGTTTTATGAACAATATTTTCATCATACATATATAAACGTTAGACTTATCTATTAAGTATTTTCAGAGAAATGTTATGAAACGTTTTGATTTATAGAAATCTTTTTTAATGTTTAACGTTACAATATTGAAATTTATACTCTTTATAAAAAACTTTTGTATCCTGATTATCTAATTATTAACCCTATCCCGATTGGGATAGTTTTGTATAATATAGATTGAGTGGGTGTTTACCCCCCATGATTTTTCCCTTAGAGTTGAGATAGGGAAGCGTGAAACATGTCCCTAGTCCAACTTTTCAAGGCCTGCTCATTAAACACAATTAGACCTCTAACTTTAATGGTTAGGGTGCAAGGAAGGATTTTTTAAAAGTTCAAAAAGTATGTCGTAAATATTTTCATAAATAGCTATTTAAACTTTAAACAAATGTTAACATATGACATATGTTATTATATTCATTTTACAATGGGTTTTGGTGTTCAAATATAAACGCCTTAGCACTGTAGCTTAAATATTACCCATTTTTTGAAAAAACTACCCGCCGTTTTAATTTCCTCTACCCTAACCTTTGCATCAAACAAAATCTTTTTTTTGCAAAGTTTGTTAACAGCTATTATGTTGAAAAAGTTTTAGCGTTCTAATGTAACCCGTTTTAAGTAATTCTAAAGAAACCATAGGGGGGGGGGGGGCTGGAAAACACCCACCAAACCTACCCACTGTGCAACATAATGTTTTGTCTAGGGTACCTACCCACTGTGCAACATAATGTTTTGTCTATGGCACCTACCCACTGTGCAACATAATGTTTTGTCTAGTGCACTTACCCACTGTGCAACATAATGTTTTGTCCAGGGCACCTACCCACTGTGCAACATAATGTTTTGTCTATGGCACCTACCCACTGTGCAACATAATGTTTTGTTTATGGCACCTACCCACTGTGCAACATAATGTTTTGTCTAGTGCACTTACCCACTGTGCAACATAATGTTTTGTCTAGGGTACCTACCCACTGTGCAACATAATGTTTTGTCTATGGCACCTACCCACTGTGCAACATAATGTTTTGTCTATGGCACCTGCCCACTGTGCAACATAATGTTTTGTCTATGGCACCTATCCACTGTGCAACATAATGTTTTGTCTAGGGCACCTGCCCACTGTGCAACATAATGTTTTGTCTAGTGCACCTACCCACTGTGCAACATAATGTTTTGTCTAGGGAACCTACCCACTGTGCAACATAATGTTTTGTCTAGGTAACCTACCCACTGTGCAACATAATGTTTTGTCTAGTGCACCTACCCACTGTGCAACATAATGTTTTGTCTAGGGCACCTACCCACTGTGCAACATAACGTTTTGTCTAGGGCACCTACACACTGTGCAACATAATGTTTTGTTTAGTGCACCTACCCACTGTGCAACATAATGTTTTATTTAGGGCACCTACCCACTGTGCAACATAATGTTTTGTCTAGTGCACCTACCCACTGTGCAACATAGTGTTTTGTCTAGTGCACCTACCCACTGTGCAACATAATGTTTTGTCTAGTGCACCTACCCACTGTGCAACATAATGTTTTGTCGAGGGCACCTACCCACTGTGCAACATAATGTTTTGTCTAGGGAACCTACCCATTGTGCAACATAATGTTTTGTCAAGGGCACCTACCCACTGTGCAACATAATGTTTTGTTTAGTGCACCCACCCACTGTGCAACATGTTTTGTCTAGTGCACCTACCCACTGTTCAACATGTTTTGTCTAGGGCACCTACCCACTGTGCAACATAATGTTTTGTACTTCTCTCTACCTCACCCTAGTTCTGGGGCTAGAAAGGTGAGAAAATGTCTGATAATTTAGAAAAAAGTTTTTTAAATTCGTTATTCGGAAAAATCGTAATTTACGTCTAGTACACAGTGTACAGTAAACCAAAAGTCCAAGCTTACCCGCTGAAATGATAAGGGTTGAGACAACTGCGCTAAAATATAATGTAGTTCTCCTAGTTATGCCTAGAAATAAACATTAAAAAAAAGTTTGTAAGATTTAAGTCAACCCTGTCTTTAAGATAGATGCATATTTTGTCTTTTTCTGGCCTCTTCAATTTTTTGAAAGATTTGATTAAATTCAAAAAAATTCAAAATTGTTATTTTTTGTCTCTAGAGTTTTTGTTTAGATACCTTGCAGTGTGCTTTCCAACTTCATATAGAGAATTCACCCTTAGCTACTCAGCTAACACAAGGTTTCTCCATTATTTCTAAACCAAGATGTTGTCAAGCCACTGACTGAACAGAAACCATGGATATCTCATTAATCTTGTCCAGACAAGGCTATTTTTCGGTTGCGGTTGTGAATAGGCCATGCCAGGCTGTAATGGAGAGGTTCTTGAAATTACTTAAAAGTTTAGTTATTATCGTCGAAAAGCAAAAACTGAGCCTTTTTGGGGATTAAGAATTAAATAATTGGCTACGATCTTTGTAAAGTTGACTTGTTACTTACAGTGGTCAACATTATATATCACAGTGTCAGTTCCTGAATTGGTGATAAAATATAAATGTATAACCTGACAAATCATATGTATATTATACGACCAGTTTTTTATATTTATATCACCATTTCAGAATAAATATAATACTGATAACGGTATTTACTGGTTCTAAAAAATGTTTAGACTGTTACTGTACGTTTCTCCAGTTGTGCTTATAAGCATTCTTCTTAATATATCCAAATATTTCGAGACAAGAATTGTAAACAGACAACAAGAAAACATAGACAGGTTAGTATATAGACAACAATATAATACAGGTTAGTGTACAGACAACAATATAATACAGGTTAGTATATAGACAACAATATAATACAGGTTAGTGTAAAGACAACAATATAATACAGGTTAGTGTACAGACAACAATATAATACAGGTTAGTATATAAACAACAATATAATACAGGTTAGTGTAAAGACAACAATATAATACAGGTTAGTGTATAGACAACAATATAATACAGGTTAATGTACAGACAACAATATAATACAGGTTAGTATATAGACAACAATACAATACAGGTTAGTATATAGACAACAATATAATACAGGTTAGTGTATAGACAACAATAAAATACAGGTTAGTATACAGACAACAATATAATACAGGTTAGTATATAGACAACAATATAATACAGGTTAGTGTATAGACAACAATATAATACAGGTTAGTGTATAGACAACAATATAATACAGGTTAGT